TTCCAGCATCCTTTTTATGGCAAGAAATGGCCCACGGGCTAGGGGTCAGGGGTGAAACTGTCACCACCATCACCAGAACAAGGTGCATGCACTCCATCTGTACTAATAAGCTAGTATTTGCAGTAACCACTAAGAAAAGTCACCTTCAATAGCTTCTACCCCATGCCAATACTGTTCTACACTCTTAGATGGATTATCTCATTCAATCCATACAGTATCCCTTTGAGTACTATTAGGAGCGCCCCATCTGCAGAGAAGGCTCAGAGACGTTAAATAACTTGCCCAAAGTCACAAGCTAGAAAATGGCAAAGCCAGACTTCTGACCCTACCGATCCCGAATTCATCCTCTTAGCCACTTCCCTGGGAAGATTTCTTCTGAAGTTGAAAAAGAGGGGCACCTGGGTGGCTCAGCCAGTGAAGTGTCTGACTCTTGGTTTCAGCTCAGGTTATGATCCAACGGTTTGTGAGTTTGAGCCCCGTAGTGGGCTCTGCGCTGAGAGCTCGGACCCTGCTTGGGATCCCCTCCCTCTCTCTCTGCTCACACGCTCTCGCGTTTTCTCTCAAGATAAATAAACTTAAAAAATATTTAAAGGTAAAGAAGAAAAAATTGTACACACACCGATAGACACACACATACACGTTTTAGAACCGCTGATGGGAAAACATACAGAATGACAAAATTCTATGAAACAGGTAGTACTTTTAAAGAAACGCGTATTCATTAAAATCCTATCTACATATAATGGAAAAGTGTCTTGTGTACATTGTAAGGCCTGTTGTTTATTTAATCTAGAGGCAGCGTCTGGTGTGCACTTGAATTTTTCCGACCCTTGGCAACAATTCTGAAGCCCTCATGAGCTGGGAGGATCTGGTCCTTCCTCTCGGAACGTAGCTGGCAAAAACATATTCTACGGATACTGAAAATAAATGTGATGTTTAAAGGCAGCGCTGTTGACGGTAGGCAGGAGTGGGTTCAGGAACCAGAGCTCTGATCCTCGCTTTGCCAATTTATTCGCTCTGCTATACCTCAGCATCTACTATAAAAAGATAGAACTGATGAAAGCTTCCTACCTCTTAAGGAGACTAGAGTCAGAACAGGAAGCAGCCTTAGATGTAACCTGTCACGAGGGGAAGGCTCACATCCAGAGCACCCTATATAGCCTCCCCTTGAGCTGCTCGACCGTCAGAGACGACCAGTGCTTGGATGGACTGAGAGAGCTGTTTGAACCTTCTCTGGGGGCCCTTCATTCTACTCATCCATCCTGATTCCATGCTCTGGAACCACCATGAAAAAGCTTAGTTTTTCTACATGGATGCTCCGTAATTAAGGCCACATTAGCCCTCCCTTTCTAGGCAAGATGTCTCTGCTTTCACTTTCCTTATAGAAGGCTCTCCTGGATCCTTACCGTCAACCTCCTTCTTTTTATTTTTTAACTTTTTAAAAAAAATATTTATTTTTGAGAGACAGAGAGACAGAGTGTGAGTGGGGGAGGGGCAGAGAGAGAGGGAGACAGGATCTGAAGCAGGCTCCAGGCTCTGAGCTATCAGCACAGAGCCCACTGCGGGGCTCAGACTCACCAACCGTAAGATCATGACCTGAGCCGAAGTCAAACACTCAACCAACTGAGCCAGCCAGGTGCCCCTCGTCAACCTCCTTCTTAAAGTTCAGTAGCCAGAACCAAAACGATACACCAAAACAATACTCTAAATAATAATAGGACCACAGTTTACTCTGAGCTGTTTTTTTTCCTATCACTATGGGATGGGAGGGAGATCTACAAGACAAGGTATAAGTCAGCAGTTATCTGATGAAAAACTGAAGGCTGCTGTGTGTAAGAGAGTGGATGGTTTTCATTCATGACATACAGCTTGCCTTATCTTCCCAAACTGCCTCAAAAGGAATAGAATTTGACTGGTGTCATTCTCTGGATCGAAACTGCATGTTAGTGGTAAATGGAGAGTAGGCGTGTTTAAAGGTTGATCATTTCAGCTGTAGCAAAACTCTTACCAACTGCCAAGCACTGACTCCACAGAGCAAAAGAGGCAGTTTCCAGCTGAGAAGAATGATTTTACCAGCACCTGCCCCAACCACTGATGCTTGAGTCCCTCAGACATTTCTACAATGGGTGAGGAGATTGGGAGTTCCAAAGAGAAAATTGGGAGTTCAGGAGACCACATGTGAGTCCTGCCATCTCTGCCTTCTGGCCTAGATTATGAGCAAATAAATTCTGAGGGTTTGGGTGCTCTGAATTGTAAAATAGAGATGCTTCCTAGCCCTCATTTTGCAGAGTGGCTGAAAGAAGAAACTGTCCATGAATGTGTTTTGCCAAGTGAAAAACATCGCATAAGTGTTAGGTATTGTAGGTGCGGGAGACTTGAAAGAAAGGAAAACCAACTTTTTGCCCAAACTAAATTCTACATCCAGAATGGACAGGAGAAATTTGGTTTTGGGGATCATTTAGTAGAAACATTAGTTGTGCAAAATCTGGAAAGCTTTCCTGATACCGCTTTTTTTTTAAATGTGTATTTATTCTTGATAGAGAGAAAGAAACAGAGCATGAGTGGGAGAGGGGCAGAGAGAGAGGGAGACACAGAATCCGAAGCAGGCTCCAGGCTCCGAGCTGTCAGCACAGAGCCCCACGCGGGGCTCGAACTCACGAACCACAAGATTATGACCTGAGCCGAAGTCGGATGCTTGACAGACTGAGCTACCCAGGCGCCCCTCCTCATATCCCTCTAATGGCCCCCCATTTTCCTTTCACCCAGCAGCCTTTGCAGGAATGAGCTTTCACAATGTTGGCTTTCAGACTGATTTCATGCAATGGCTTCTCAATCTGGCCATTCCCTGCTCATTCCTGAACGACCCTGAAGCCATCGCTGGTCACTTGTTTTCTCTCCTTCCTTCCTTCTGCGCATTTTCCCTGAGCGGCCTTTCTAAGCCAGGTACCAAGTGAGTCACTAGAGACACAGCTGTGAGCAAGACAAGACATTCTGTGGGAGACAGACATTGCACAAAATTATGGAATTACAGTTGCAGTCCACACTGCAAAGAAAAATGTAGGGTTTTAAGAGCATCCTTAGCAAGAGAATCGAGGAATTACCTTGGGTGCTGGTGCTCATTCCGGGTGTTCAGATGCATTGCCCTCTCAAGAATTAACTCATCGATGTGTGTGGTCAGCCCTTTAAAGTTTCTGAAACACTTTCTCATATGTTTTTTCACTGGGTCAGGCTCTCAACCCTGCAAAGAACACAGAATCATCATCACCCAGTTCTAGAGACCAAGTCTGTGGGACTTGACATGACTGTCTCAGGGTCAACTAGTTTTGCCACTTTGAGAATTGTCCACTCTTACTCCTGGGTTCTTGCCAACCTACCTTGTTGGTTCGCTGGCTTTTCTCCCTTGGGAGTTGGTATTTTGAAAAGGAGCCTTGAGAAAAGAGCAATTGGGGAAAATGCTCCCCTGGACACTTTACTGGGCAACATGTGGGTAGAAGCTGTGATTCCTGATAGTGGCCTCAGCCAAGTGACAAGAGGAAGCCCTACCTGTGATGTGAAAGACGTCCTAACTGTTTTGTGTGCATCTGTCTTTGTAGTTTCCAATAAGACTCAAAACCCTCTCTGACCCCAAACGTAGCCCCCTGGTCTCACCTGTGCCTCGAGGAACAAGAGCCAAGTCAAAAGGAAATAAGTCCCTTGGGCTTTACTCCTCCAACCTCGCCATTCTTGACTTCCCACAGCACGCAGAGCCCCCCCCCCAGATGTGCTTATGAATTGATCACCTTCCCTACCATTCGTTCCATGCCTACTACGTCCCAGAACCTTGTGTACATTGACCTTTAGATCACCTGCTAAAGTAAGTATCTATTAGCATCTCTGCCTTTGGCCGATGTGGGACCTGAGGCTCAGAGAGACGAAGTAATTTGCCGAAGGTCACACAGCTCGTAAGTCGTAGAGCTGGGATTTGAACCCACACCCGACTCCAGATTCCATGCTCTCAGATATATACCGCACTCTCTCCCCAAAAACTGAAAATAAATTCCATAACCACTTCCTGCTCTTCCTGTCTGGGGTTTTTAGTATTTAAGACCAGGAGACAGAACGACAGCCTTGGGACAGGCTTTGAGAGGTTCTGGTACTCTCTCAACCCCACCCACAGACACCTGTCACCCTCTGGGTTAAGGATGCCCGCCCACCACACCGCGTCCTCTTTAAGACTCTTAACTGAAACTCAAGGGTTCCATTAGGACAAACCCGTGGCCACAGGACAAAAAGACCCAAAATACAGGAAGTAACAGCGGCCTTAGTTGCTTTTCTAGACTAGCAAGCCCTCCACTAATCAGTTTCGGTTTAGCTAGTTACTTTTCTACTTTTTATTATTTTTTTTTTAATTTTTTTTTCAACGTTTATTTATTTTTGGGACAGAGAGAGACAGAGCATGAACAGGGGAGGGGCAGAGAGAGAGAGGGAGACACAGAATCAGAAACAGGCTCCAGGCTCCGAGCCATCAGCCCAGAGCCCGACGCGGGGCTCGAAGTCACGGACCGCGAGATCGTGACCTGGCTGAAGTCGGACGCTTAGCCGACTGCGCCACCCAGGCGCCCGGCTTTTCTACTTTTTAAAGGGACAAAGGAGCATGCAGAATTCCCACAACAGCCACAGGATCCTGATCAGTAAATATTTGCTTGCCTTTTCTTTTTTCTTTCTTTTTCCCTTTCTTCCTGTCTCCCTTCCTTTCCTTTCCTTCCTTTCCTCTCCCTTTTGCCTACCTTTCTTCCCTCTTTTCTCTCTCCCTCTCTCTTTTCTCTCTTTCTCTCCAAAGCGGTAGCTACAGCTTGGGAAAGAGAATAGACATCACATTTTATTTTTTTTGTACCTTTCTGTGTTTCCTGGTCAGCTCCGTGTGCCAGTGTATTGTATTGACTGATGGTGACACAGCACTGAGCTGTGGACAATGAAGCATAAACACCAACCTCACTTCTGCCCTCTTCTTTCCTCCTTAGGTGAAGGCAGCTTCCAAATATGTGGATGTACCTGTGAGTATTCGAAAATTGCTTTCGTGTGTGTGTGTGTGTGTGTGTGTGTGTGTGTGTGCACGCATGTGTATGTGTTTGCTTTCATGAGAAATTGAATGATGCTGTTTTCATTAGTTGCTACTAAATTGCATATCTCTGACTTGAATCACCAGAAAGAGAGAAGCCAAGAGTATTTCATGGTAAAACTTTTTTTTTAGATGAAAAGAGGGTATCGTTTCTTTCATCCAGAAGAGAGATCCTGTTTGAGAGTAAACCCAGTGGCCTTTCGTTTCATTTTCCTGGGTTTCTCTGGTACAGGTCATTCTCTATCGGCCTCCTCCCCTCCCCTCCCGTATGCACACCTTGGGAGTCTCCGTGAGCTAGAAATTTGCACAAGGGTACCAGTATTTTTTTTTAAACAAATAAATTCTGAATTTGTTCATTTTGGGGTCAATTCTGCAATTGTTTTAAGGAAATCTTACAGAACTGCTTATAATTAGTGCAGACCTCATTAATGAAGAGAGCTCTCAAAGTTCACAGATAAAGCACTTGTGGTTGCCCAAAATTTACATTTAAATTGAGGTTAAGTACTACACATGAACGCTGGAGTGTGGGATTACCTGTGATAAGTCAGGATACATTTATCGACAGACTTTGCCCTGCCTATTAGCAAAATAAAATTGGAGAGATTTAAATATATTCCAATAAAGGGGAAAAGAAAATGATTCTGTTTCTCCATTTCTAACAAAAGAGGTGTGAGTCTATTATAAAATATTAAATTTAGAGAGCTTATCTCAACAGCCACCAAGGGTCTTGTACTGAACGTTTCTCATTCTGAACGTGGTTAAGTGCCCTCCTTGTTCAAATACTTATTTGTTAAAATTTGTTTTTTTTCTAAAAGGATTTATATTAACATTTAAATTCATTTCCCCAGGAAGCTAAGTGTGTAATCGTTTATTGGCTTATTTCGCAAAGGATGGCAAAATGGAAAATTGGAGTGAATCTAGCATTAGCATACATTTTGTTTGTTTAATGAGAGAATGTACAATCAATAATTATGCTTTGAATTTATATAATACTTCTCATCGAGGGACCTCAGACTCCTTCACGTAGAGAGTCTTTATAATGGAGAAGAGAAAAAGCTCACACACAACCACAGCCAGGAGAGGCATTAAGTAATTTATTTTTCCAAGCCCCAAAGTATAAACTTTCAGTTCACAGGGAGCGAACTACTCAAATTCTCTGGGCCTATTTCTCCACCCTTAAAAGAGAGGTAATAATACCCAAGTCACAGGTTTGCTGTGCAGATTAAATGACACACATATATGGAACTCTCAGCACTATACCTGGCACTCCCTAGACATTTGAGCAGCAGGAGCAGAGCCCCTGGGCAGGCAGATAAGGGGGTGCTCGCACTGTATTGCACAGGGGAGCAGGGAGAGAGGATGAATTTGCTGACAGCAGTCCTGACCTGCACGGTCTGCAGCCCTAATAGAAATTGAAATTCTAGGCACCCAGCCTGAAGATCTGGTGTCTATAGGCCCCCAAGTCAAGGGGCGATCTCCCCGGCGAGGTTTAAACAGGTGCCCAGCAGGCAAGCTCCAAATACCCAGAGAAACTTGACCCGGCAATCATCGCCATCACCGGAAGTTATTGGGGAGGTCAAATTATTTTGGGGAGGGGGTCCAAAAAGTCAAACATCAGTGATTTCATGTGGTTTCCACCTAATTCCTACAGACCAGGTTTAGATTTATTGTAAAGCTAAGGGGGGGGGGGGGAAGGCTCTACATCTACACGAAAGGGAACAAAAGTGAATTAGCAGAATTTGCACCCTCTAGGGAGACAGAAGAAAATGATGCAACGTGTTCCAAACTGTGGTACATTTGCCACTGCTGATACATAATATAATAATAATTGCAATTGCAGCCAAGCCTCATAAAGCATTCCCTGTGTGCTAAGCACTGTTCTAAGGTAAGCACTTCAAATGTTTAAAGATGAGGAAGCTGAGGCGCAGAGATGGTCATTTGCTCAGGGTCCCACCGCTGGTAAGTGGCAGAGCTGAGATTTAAACCAGTCCCCTTAAACACTATGCCATCTGCAAGATGATTTTAGTTCGAGCATAGACCGACATCTTTATTGGGATAATTGAGTAATTATTTAAGGAGTATTAGAAAAAAATGTGGTTAGCACATCAAACCCATGATTTCACCAGTTGTTATGGCTCAGGACAAGGATACCCTTTAAAATCAAGTTGATTAACATCTATTTTTATAGCACATAATATCATAGCAAGAATATTGTGTTTTAGTAAATAAACAATGTTATGGAAAATAATAGCACAGAATACACAGGCGTACTGTCTGTGCATGTTTACATATGGTCAATTACAGTAATCGTGTGCTTTTCCAAACAACCCTATGGGAGGGGAATGGGATCACCCTGCTTCACAGGTGAGGAAAGTGAGGCACAGGGAGGTTAAGAGCAAGTCCAGCATCACCTGCTAGTAAATCGGGGCGTGAGGGTTTAAGTGCCAGCAGTTTGACTCCGGAAAGCCTGCTAGCCCTGCCTTCCAGGAGTCAGTTGTGTGCATGTTTTTCCAACTCTGCCTTCAGTCGGGGCACATGGGTAGCTTGAACTCAGCCAAGGAGGGAATAGTTACACCGTGGAGATTGGCAGGCGTAACCAGTCAAGGTTTGCTGTTTTGTTCTGTTGTTTCTGTCTTCTGTTTTGAAGAGCCAGTGTCCTGGCACACCGGGGACGATCACCTATTAAATCACGTGTCCTCACCCCAGAATGTGCAGCGTTAATACTTGGCAGTGTTTGGGGAGGGGGGTTGTCTTTTGTTTTTTTTTTAAGTAGAGATTTCAGGCCCCTTGTGTCCAGAGATTCTGCTTCAATAGTTCGCGGGGAGGGGGGGAGGGGGGGAGGGGTGCGGAGCCTGGAAATCTCTTTCCAAAGAGCTGATCTGGGAGAGTGCAGGTTTGGGAACCAGTAGGCTAAACCCATGAGTCTGGACCTTGGCTACGTATTGGAAACACCTGGGGAGCCCTTACGAGCATTAGCGCCAGGTTGCTTGCCAAATTAAAACAATTTCTGGAGTGAGGGGTCTTGGTGATAGTATTGCCCAAAGCTCCCCAGATCCTTCTCATTTGCAGCCAGGGTTAAGACCTCTGGGTGAAATCATCTTCCGAGGTGTTTCTGGCTCTGATGTCTCCGAGTTCATCTGTGTTGCCCTGTGAGGTTTTTGGCACATGGTTTATTGGTTTAGTTCCTTGTGGGGACTAGTAGTTAGTTACATTAGAGATCTGTCTCTTAATTATCCGCACTAATGTAGAGAAGTGCTGTTACCAGTCATTCAAAACATTGTGTAATCCCCAAAGCCTATCTCTTTGTCTTAGATGTAGTGTTTGACCCTGCCGAATATACATGACAGATTTGCATTTCTAATTAGGGCTTGCTGAAATTACTGAAAATTTGAATTTGTTTTCAAGCTCAGAAGTACCTGGTAGGGGCAAGCTATGATTAAAATGTCCTATTTTTCCTAAGCCACAGAGTGGCTTCTTCACAAATGATACCTTCCACAGGTGGAGGGAGTCAACTATACAGAGATTGTTTGTTTTATACGTTTGGTAAAATCTCCATCCTCGGCCTGTCCAAGCCATATTTGAAGTAAACAATGTACGAGATACTAAACACCATCATCTGAAGCTTTCCCCACTGTGTTTAGAAAGCAGTATGGTATAGGGGCGCCTGGGTGGCTCAGTCAAGCGGCCTCATGGTTTGTTGGTTTGAGCCCCTCATCTGGCCCTGTGCTGACAGCTCAGAGCCGGGAGCCTGCTTCGGATTCTGTGTCTCCCTCTCTCTCTGCCCTTCCCCACACTCGTGCTGTGTCTCTGTCTCTCAAAGGTGAATAAATGTTAAAAAAAAAAAAAAAGAAAGAAAGGAAAGGAAAGCAATATGGTATAAAGCCTCATTTATCTAATAGCATCAGTCATTTAGCCAAGAATATTTTCCATGTACAACTGCAAGTTAGCTTGTCTGTGAACAGTCTTTCTTTTAACCATTTTGGTTGGAAATCTACCTAGGCTTCATTACACATCCTTCTCTGCCTGTGTCAACAGAAAACTGTACTTCAACCCTCCCTCAATGACAAAGGATCAACACTGTGACTGTCTTTCCCCCGTAGCCACGTAGTGACCTGCTACCCACAGGGCCTCCAGAGGTATAGAGGTGGCTTACCTCTGCCCTTGATAGTCCCAGACCCCAGTGGTTGCTGGGTCTACCTGTCTGGTGCTGCAGTTTGCTAAGGGCGTTGGGAAAAGTGACAGCACTCTGTTATCAGCCCACCCGTTTCAAACAGTTGCCCCTTCCTGGTCCACTGAAGGAAGGGAGACAAACTTGTTGGCTTTGGATGTAAAGCTGGTGAGAAAGGAAGAAGGTGGTGAGTGGAGGCCTGGGGACTGTATCATAAGAACACTGTATACATTGGCACACAGAGACTGTATCGTCTTTATTTGGATGTTGGTTTCTCTCAAGCCCCGTTTTTCTTCTTGGTTCCAAAGTAGATTCCAAAGGTGGGTAAGGCTATGAAGTGATACAATATTGTGGGGCAGGGTGGGGGAACAGAGTCATAGTGGCTCATGTTTGTATATCAATTTATGGCTTTTATGGTATCTTGACCTACATTATTTTATAACAACCCTTGAAGGTAAGTAGGAGAGCTACTATTAATCCCATTTTACAGATGGTGTAACTAAGACCCAGAGAAATTTAAATGATGTTCGCAAGTTCCAGTTGGTGGGGGAATATAATAAAAATCCAGGTAGTGTGACTAAAGAGCTCAAAAAAAAAAAAAAAAAAAGATGTGGGGAAGGGGCTTATTCATTCACGGGTTTGTTCATTCAGCATATATTTACTGAGCACCTACTCTGTGCCAGGCATCATTCTGTGTGCTGAGGATACAATAGAAAATAGATCAAATAAAGCCCCTATATTTGTGGAGTTATGTTCTAGTGAGAGCAAACAAGCAGATATATAGTAAATGTCAGCTATTGGTACACGTGATGAAGAAAAAGAAGGGTCAAAAGGTAGAGAACCATAGAGCTTTTTAACTACCTAGGTGAGATAAACCACCCTGTTTTTTTTTGGGGGGGTCAAAGTTTTTAAATTTTTTTTTCAACGTTTATTTATTTTTGGGACAGAGAGAGACAGAGCATGAACGGGGGAGGGGCAGAGAGAGAGGGAGACACAGAATCGGAAACAGGCTCCAGGCTCTGAGCCATCAGCCCAGAGCCTGACACGGGGCTCGAACTCCCGGACCGCGAGATCGTGACCTGGCTGAAGTCGGACGCTTAACCGACTGCGCCACCCAGGCGCCCCTGGGTCAAAGTTTTTAAAACTTAAATGAAACGCCCTTTGATGACAGTAAATTTTGTGGAAAGAGAAGGAGTGGGTGAAAATAACCATTCTTATAGGTTACTAACGTTGCCGGTTACTAACAGGGCTGCTGAATTGAGCTTTGAATCTTAGCTCTAAGGTGGCTGCATGAGTCCAGGAAAAGGCCATATCTGCCTCCAGGATCACCAGGGAAGAAATGGAAACAATACTAATAAGTTTCTCAAGTCCCCCCAAGTGGGGGGGGGTCCCCATCCCTACTGAGAATGCCCTTTGATGTGCGGCTGCCAAAGGGAGAGAAGGAGCCTAGCGAGGTGCCAGTTTAGAACTGATATGTATCACTTACATCTCATTGGAGAACCTCTATTGTTTCGTATCATAAAACTGCCACAATTATAGGACCATCACGGAACCTGCTCAATCCATTCACTGAAAATTGCTTGAAAGTGTAACAGTTGACTACTGTGGCTTTGGATTGTCCTCATTGTTTTTCAAATTAATACCTTGTCATTGTTCCAGCAGGTGTTAAGAAATGTTACTAGCATCCCAGGGGCCAAAGCATTGGCCCTTTCCTTGATAATTGTTTGCTTTGTATCATGAAAAAAAAAAAAAATACAGTCCTACTGTTTCCAAACCTTCCTCATTTTCACCCTGGAAATTACACAGAAGTGTTAACTAACTTCAATTTGCAGTGGCTGACAGTCCCGTCTTGTAGAGAAATGATACTTTGTGATCTAAGGTAAATCACAGTAATGAAAACTAATCTTGTTTAGTTATTAGCAAACATACATGTCTGCTGTGGAAATTTAAGCGGTTTGTTGCAGCTCTCCTGATGACCCATATTACATTGTTTTAATAGGTTTCTTTGGACGTATCTTTGATTGCGACATCTCAAGCAGTGTGCACCCCGAGCCTCTCTTTTTTTTTTTTTTTGTATTAGTATTTTCTCACAATAAATTATTTCTTAACTCTGGATGAACCACCTGCTTACCTTTCCAGAAAATCGAATTTATTTAAAAATCCCGTCCTTCGCCCTCCTCCTCAATTCCTGCTTTTTAAAATTTGGGGGCCATAAGGCTGCGCTGGGAAGTAAAGACAGATAAGAGGTTGAATGTCTCCTCTGAGTAAACCGATTAGGAAATATTCACTACATACTCAGGTTAAAGTGTTCCTCCCCTCCCACCCACCCACCCAAAAAAAAATGTGGCTTCAGTAGGAGGAGATGTACGCTAAAATATAATTTCTTTACTTAGCATTTTCTCCATTTTTTAAAGAAGAAAAAAAGATCGAGGAAGGCTGTCACCTTTCCAATGTTATATTAAGGACAGACAGTGGAAGACAGAGTCTGTTTGGGTATTCTTAAATGGGGATTTCAATCCAAAGAAAAGCCAGAGGATGTCTCTGGGTTATCCAGTGATGATTTATCTGTTATAGTATCTATAGCAGAAAAAGAAATTAATAGCTTAAAAAAATAACTGTAAAACCATGTAATCCCAGCTCCTTTTCTTAGCCAGGTTTGATTCCTGGAAAGAGCAGGAGGCTCAAATATCAGTTCTTAGCAGTCCAGGCTGTGGATAGCTCTACAGTATATTATGAATAGCTTCAAATTCCAGCACAGGCAGTGTGGGGTGGGGTAGGGTGGGGTGGGGAGACTGAAATGCATGAGTCACCGAGGAAGTCACTGTCTGAAAATTCCATTTTCATGTTTTCCTGTTTCTTTGCAGAAACCCGGGATGGACGTGGCCGACGCCTATGTGACTTTCGTCCGTCACTCTCAGGATGTCCTCCGTGATAAGGTCAATGAGGAGATGTATATAGAAAGGTTATTTGATGTAAGTAAATGCCTTCTCCTCCTTGAAGACCAAGGAGGAGACCCTCCAAAATGTGACAAAATAAGAGACAGGAGGATAAGTCACATTTTGAGAAAATGGATTGGTCCTGATTCGAGCAATGTCTTTCCCTTTCCCTCTGCCTTAGGCTCTTATCTGTCGTGTGTCTGTTCCGAACCCACTCTGGCGTGGCCGTGTCTCAGTCCCAATCTGTGTGATACGTAGGACGACGCACAGCCTCTCTCAGCAAGCAGCCTCGTTTCTGCACGAAGCTTGTGAGGCAGCTTTTCTGTAACTGGCAGAGACCTTTCTTGGTCATGGTCCTCCTCGCAATCTGGCCTTGCTTTAGGGATGTGTTGTCATCGGGGAGGCTGACACCGGCTCCCTCTCCTGGGGGTGGTGCCTCCCTGACCCCAGCCGTGGCTTGCAGATGTACACTACGTGGTGCATTGTTACCCTTCCAAGAGAACTCCGTTTCTGGAAGCCTGGAAATGCTTCGTTAGCCCTGGCTTTGGGCAAACTCTTGTACTAGACTTGTTCAGTCAGTGTGGTTTTAAACCGGGGCACCCCCTGCCCACCCACCCACTTGAAAACTCGGGAGAAGAAGCGGCTATACAAAGAGCAGGTATATCAGGCTGCCCGACCCAGACCGAACTGGAGAAAATGCAGATTTCTGAGGATTAATAGCTATCAAGCAGTGTTATTTCCACTGTGACTACATCTGCACTTCCAAAGCAAGCCACTGAGGCAAAAAGAAGGGGGGAAAAAAAAAGGAATCTGCTTTGGTCTCAAACTGCCTGCCTCTTTCAGGCCAAAGCAGATGGGGCTGCCTAATTTAGCCAGATATTTTGCTTCAAGTTTCCACTGAATTTGCCAGTGTAGACCCGGCCAGAGTGCATGGAAGCTGACGTACTTGTCTCCGTGTGGCTCTAATTGTGCAGCCTACTTCTGTCTCGTGAAGCGTGAGCTCTTCTGTCCAGGTTTTCGTATATTTTTAGTGCCAGCCCGAACATTAATGTTTTGGTCTACTATGGAATCCGTGTTTCTATATTTTTTCTGTGATTGTGTTCAGCAATTTACATTGAGTTTGTGCGTGTGTGTGCGCGCGTGTTTTTGTTCCATGGCTAAGTGAGCTCATTGTTGGCAGTGCTCAGGATTCTCCAGCTTCTGACTTTTATATGCTTTGTCTTCCAGCTCATTTGCTTTCCTCGTGTGTTGAAAAGGCTCCTTCCTTTTTTTCTTTTCCAATCATCCCCTCTCTGTGCTCAATATCGCTCTTTCCTCTGCATCACCTTTCCTCAAGAAAACCTTTCTTACTTTTTAATTCCCACCCGTCCTCTCTCTCGGATTAAAATGGAACTTATCTCTCATGTCAAATGTTTTATCACATTATATCAAGTGGCATGAATTAGAATCAAATAATCTTCCTGTGTACATCTTCTAGCATGACCCACATCCACTGAGAATGCCTCATACATACATAAAACTCACCAGCGGGTTCTCTCCCTTCTCTGCATGTGTGCCTTTACGAAAGTACTGAGCCTAGAATGCCCAGGGCACAATCACCCATCCAATAGGCATTGAAAACAGAGACAGGCAGCAGCCTCAGATGGCAGTTAGGAGTGCGGACAGTCTGCCCATCTCCACCGAATTAAATTCCAAACCGCAAATTTTCAAGAAGCCTGTGGATTGTTCTTTTCAATGCCTAGGTTGCCTTTTTTGTTTTGTTTTGTTTTCCTTTGATCAGTATCTTCTGATTCTCAGTTTTGTGTGGCCCTCGCGTGCGTGTGCGTGTGCGTTCCTGTGCGAGCGTGTGTGCGAATAACCTTGTGCTCTCTAACACTTTAAAACATCTCGTACTGAATTTGATGTTTGATCTGCAGCTTAGCCTGTCGCTTCCTCACAGATAAGCCACCTCTTCTTTTTTTTTTTTTTTTATTAAAATGACAAGGGGCACAAAAAATTTTAAGGTAGCCTTGTTGAAGGCAACAAGACAAATTGTCCTTTTCTGTGGCTTTTTTTTTTTTTTTTTTTTTTTTTAAGGAAAGTGCAACTGAATTGTTATTCGAAAATAAGAGTGGAGCCTTGGCTGACACAGATGGGAAAGCTAGACTTGTCCGGCCATTGTAGAACACAGTCAAATTCAAGCCCTCTGGCTTCTAGTGTGAATTAATAATGAAAAGACACATTTACTAAGAATATGCTGCTCAGAAAGTAAATTATGCTTAGGGTCATTCAAAAACTCGCAAGTATTTCTAGCCCCTTGTCGAATTACACTGACCTGTGTAAGACGGCCTCCTTAATTCTGTGAGAATCCTCCCAATTTAGTCTCATAGTGTGCTAATCATGTTTCCTGAGGGAGTCTTAGTTTCACTCCCCAGAGTATCTGATTTTAAAGACTTCACCATTACAATCATTCGCTGAACCTCACTCCCACCCCTGTGGGAAAAAATTTTTTTTCAATAGCTTATTTGGAGCTAATAAATCTCTTGCCTTTTACTTTCTTACTTTCCAAATAACCTGCTCCCCTAATTTACAGAATATCGGTGCTAAGCAACCTAACTGATGTAGTGCAAAAAAAGTTATTGAATCTGTCATGGATTTAAAACAGTTGTCATTTGAAAAACCCAGAGCTTCTCAAAAAGCTTCATTACCATGCAGTCTCGGTAATTTAATTCAGTACTTACTGTTTTTCTATAATCTAGCAGCAAAACATCAGATTACCAACATGTTTGATTATTTTCGGCTTCTGTTTCCTCAAGCATGGTGTTTATGTCTTTGCATCTACGCTCTGCAAGGCTCTCGTGTCCACTGAGCTAAACAAGGGGAAGCAAATGTTCAGGCAGGAGGGTCTCTGAAACCGACCACCCTCAGTTTCCTGCCACAGTGAACGTGTTCTTTAAACTCTGTTCCTTACTGATGGTGGTCCTGGGGCAGGTTTCTAAACAATTGGCAGAAATCTATGGAGAAAAACTTGTTGATCTGAGAGGGGGCTCTTCCAAATTGTTGCATTTTGATAAATGGCAGAAATGAATAATAGGAAATTAGCATTTTGAACGAGGACAAAAATACAGCTCTCCGAGATTGTTTGCTGTTTGGGGGTTGTTGATTCCGACTGTGGTGTCACTCTCTGGTTTTTAGCTCCTGCTGGCATCTGTCATTCAGAGGCATGTCTCAGAGTTTCTGTTGTGCTTTCAGCTGTGTTTCAAAGTCTCCATTTTATTTACCTGAAAAGTCCTTTAAGTTCTTGCTATTTAGTTTTGTGACGCGGTTTCTTGGTTGTTGTTGTGATGTTTTGGTTTTGCCTTTCTGAATGTGCCTTGTAGAAAAGGCTGGATGGCATTAGTGTGTGTTTGCATCTGAGAATATTTGGACTAATAGTGGGTCATTTAATGAGCGCATCTTCCGTTTTAACTGGGCTCCCTCGGATCTAGCTTTCCCTCTGCCTTGTCATTGTACTTTTGGCTGGAATTGGGTGCTTGTGGGAGATTATCGGCATAGCATTTGGGGCTCTATATTTAATGTTCTGCATTTTTATCTATTTTATTATGTAACTTAAGAACAGTGTTCCAAATTCTTCTTCACCAACATTTTTTTTAAACAGGCATTCTCTAGGCTTATTGAAGCGATACATCAGACATAACGTTGCCTAACCAGGTTTTCTAAGGCAGGGAAAGCTTCTCTGTTTATTAGTAATTGATTGGCACTGTCCAGATTCTGTTAAATACTATCAACTTTTTTAGTCATGCACCTAAGAAAAAAACTAACCAGTCCAAAATTAAGTACCGTTTGGGGCGTCGGGGTGGCTCAGTCAGTTAGGCGTCTGACTCCAGCTCAGGTCATGATCTCACGGCTCATGGGTTCGAGCCCCGCATCGGGCTCTGCGCTGACAGCTCAGAGCCTGGAGCCTGCTTCGGATTTTTTGTCTCCTCTCTCTCTCTACCCCACCCCTGTTCACACTCTGTCTCTCTCTCTCTCTCTCTCTCTCTGTCTCTCTCTCTCTCTCTCAAAAATAAATAAGCTTTAAGAAATTAAAACCAAAAACAAATCAAGGACTGATTGGAAAAGAATCCTCATGCAGCCTCCCATACTGTTTCAGATGTACAACTATACATTTCATCTGCATTTTTGTAATTTTCCTAAAAGTAGGACATATGATTTTAAACTGGTTTCAGTTGCTGCAAAATAACAGTTTAAAATATTTCAAAACAAAAGATTGGGCGATTTAAAGCAAGAGAATATTCCAATACGTAAAACAGCAATGAATTTAAATTATATTAAAGATGCTGAATTTTTAAAGGAGAATCAGGTTGCTGTCAGACTCCAATGGAAGCTTGGCCTCCTGGAAAATTTTGCTGACTTTTAAAGAAAATATAAAACATAGATAGGAAATAATCTCCATATTCCTAAAGCAGCTGTTGAGGAGAAACGCGCAAACCCAAGAAATAGCTTGAAGACAGTGATTTAAAGCTTGAGTGTCCATAAATCATGCAGATGGCTCCCCCCACACCCCCCCCCACTTGGGTGATTAATTCAATATCTTCCCCCAAAACAAAAACATGCTTTTTGAAATTAGAGATCAGATCATCAGGAGAAGCACCTAAGATTTCAAGGTCTAAACAAAAATTAATTTATTTTCTTTCCTCCTTGTACTTCTTGAAGACACAGACTGAGAAGAAAATCGGGATTAAAAGAGATGTGCTTAGGGTGAATTCATCTGCTTAAACCTCACAGGCTCGGAGATGAGTGATTAAAAAACCATCTCGAACTTGGAAGGCATCCACGTTGGTGGTAATGCCCGATCCGCACTGGCGTTCCTCAGGCCCCCGTGCCGTTGTGAACCAGGCCCGGCGAACATTTGACTGGGGATGATACATGGATTATATAGGTCAATTATACACTTAATCTGCCTTCTGGAGGATTAAGTATTTGCAGATTGACTCTGCTTTTGGCTTCTCTCTGGCAGTTATCAGATCAGGAAAGGGCCCCTTACCAAACCCGCC